CAATTTTATATACACCTTGCAATTTTTTATACACCAAATATAGTTGACCTATTGCGTATGCTAATTGAAAAACAGACCAAAACACAAAAAATGAGGTCAAGGTCAGATTATACCTGCCAGACAGACATGTACATCTTACAATCATTCCATACATAAAATTTAGTTGACCTATTGCTTATAGTACTTGAAAAACAGAACAAAACACAAGAACTTAGCATTGACCAATGAACCATGAAAATGAGGTCAAGGTCAGATGAAACCTGCCAGACTGACATGTACCCATTACAATCATTCCATACACCAAATATAGTTTACCTATTGCTTATAGTATATGAGAAATGGACCTAATCACATAACATTTACCTTGATCACTGATCCATGAAATGAGGTCGAGGTCATGTGAACTCTGTCTGACGGACATGTAGACATTGCAAGGAACCCATATACCGAATATCGTTATCTTATTACTCATAATAAGTGAGAAATTCACATGACAAAAAACAAAAAAATTTTTTCAAGCAGTCGCTGAACCATGACAATGAAAATATGGTTGACGGAAACTTCGTAACATAAGGTTTCTGCATACAAGATATGAAGCATTCAGGTCTTCTACCTTCTGAAATATAAAGCTTTATACAAATAGTTTACGCCGCCGCCACCGGATAGTAATACCTATATCTTGCATACTGCGACTTTATCGCATACGAGACAAAAACTGAAATTTTTTCGAGCAGTCACTGAACCATGAAAATGAGGTCAAGGACAATGAACATATGGTTAACGGAAACTTCCTAACATAAGGTATCTGCATACAAAATATGAAGCATCTAGGTATTCTACCTTCGGAAATATAAAGCTTTATACAAATAGTTTATGCCGCCACCGCCAGATAGAAATATCTATTTCTCGCATACTGCGAAATTTGTCGCAGGCGAGACAAAAATTAATAACATTTACCCTTACCTTGATGTTTAAACTCTAGTGTCTATAGAGACATTTCAAATTTCAATGAGCATTCTAATTTTGTTTTTACAGGTAATCATTTAGTCAAGTGTTTTTCGTTACCACAAATTACTAAAAACCTTGACTAAATTTTTAATTTTTCTTATATGAGATTCTGCAAATTAATAGGATGTGTCTTGTTCTATGTAGAACAAAATATATTGTATCCTTAATCAATGTGTTAACCATAGATGATAAAATGTAGGTTTACGTTAACATGCATCATTAATCATATATTACATGATAAACAACTAGGACTCCATATATTTAAATCTTTAAATTATATAAAATAAGTAAATCATATTAATTAAGTAAAACATCTTCGAAAGTGGGACTCAATAACAAATTTAAACTGATAATTAAAAATAGCTTCTTATAAGTCATGTAAGTAGTACACACACATGATGGTTTACAGCTATCTATTTCACCTTAAAAGTTGGATTCTTTTAAAAAGACCAAATAGTTATCGCGCCAAATTGTTACTATACTTTCAAATTTAATCAAAGCATGTGTTCTACCAAATCTACTTTAAAAACATCCTGTTACAGTAATAGAAAATTTCGAATTAGGTAAGATAATAAGATGGAATATAAAAACAAGTTGCTTTCTTTTAAAAAAAGAAAAGCAATACGTGAACCCGAGACCGCTGACTGGTTACCAAATATTTTTTGCTGAATTTATTTTTGCTTTAGAGTTGAAATAATTGACAGTCACTGTTAACAGAAAGAAATATATTGAAAATATGTTATTGTATGTAGATTCTTGCACACAAGTCAATTAAAATCACTGTTCGATTTTAGTTCTAAATAGAAAATTGTATACAGCTACCATTTGAAATTACCTTTCAAGGCTTGACTATTTTAACTATTACTTGGGAGTGAACATAATTTTTTCTCTGTGTTTTATGTACAAAGACCTAATCCTATTGCAATTCTCAATTTCTGCAAACCGGATTTCTTAAACAAATTGCACAGACCTATCAAGATATAGAGTTCAGCACTCAGTTTGCTGTATATATTATCTGGATGCGTTTCTTTTATCTTTCATATCTTCATATTTTGTTTCCTGGATGCTTTAATTTATTCTTATACTCATTGAATCTGTCTGTACTCATGGAAGAGATGGTATAGAGAAATTGAAAGTCCAATTTCCATGTGAAGTGTAACTCTGTGACACAAATTATGAGAAGATGTCGTATTTTGTTCTTGAGAGTAACACACCAGCTTCATTAGGACCTCCTATTTACTGACAATTATTTTGGTCTGATTTTAAGGATTTCCTTAAGTAACTTAAATCATTTCAAAAATTTGACAGGAAAACTTAGTTTTGATAAATATCTTGTTTTCATAAGTCTTGTCAATACCCGAACCCAAAAGAACCAATTTATGTAAAAAGTTATATTTGGAAAAAATCAATAAACTCATCATGGACACGTGGTCAGGATTAAAGTTTTGTACGCCAGATGCGCATTTCGACTATAAAAGACTCATCAGTTACGCTCGAAACAAAAAAGTAAAAAAAAAAGGCCAAATATAGAACAAAGTTAAGGAACATTGAGGACCCAAAAGTCTGAAAGTTTTGCAAAATACAGCTAAGGTAATCTATTCCTCGGGTTAGCATTTTGAAAATTTCAAAGTTTATAATAGGACAGTCACTCAAAAAGAAAGAAAAAGATTAGAAAAAAAACAACGATGTCAGAGTACCTCAATGATGAGCATGCTTCAAAATCACATGTCAAGCTCTTACTGTCGTGTTCTAGATTTAGATAAGAAAGGCAAAAAATTACCTACCACAAGTGAAATCAATGTTTACGCATGCATGAGAAATAGTAAATGACAAGCATAGGCACTGATATTATGGATACGAATATGCATTTGCATCATCACGTATATCTATTCTAGGTTCAAATCTAATGTTAGTTGAATTCGGACGTCAAACTGCCTACCTCAAGTGGTTTGACTCTGGATTCATTGCCATTTGATCCCATTTTGTTGTGTCGTGTGAACATGGTGTAATAATAACAGTAATATTATGTAAATAAACGGCAAGACGTTTGTAGGGTAGCTGGTCAACACAATGCATACAATTTTCAAAATCGCACAATCATTGCAAAGATTAAAATGCTTTATCGTAGGGTTGAACTATTAAAAACAAAACAAAATAATCAAAATTTAATTAACAAACATTCCTAGCCTTTAATAAATCTTTTCCACAAATTTAAAATATACTTTCAATAAACATAAACCTCAAGTATTTACTAATGGCAATTTTTTTTATCAAACCAATTTCTTCTTTAAGTCTAACTTTCTATTTTATATCTATATAAGATATAGCAGACTTATAAAACCACACGTAAAATTAGTAACTTATATGTTGTAATTATGATTATTGTTAAAGATCAGTTACGTTTTTTGTGAAATGCAAGGATTCGAAATTCTTGTGAATTATAACCATGCAAATATTTTGCTCATTCCCTACAGTTTAAACATTAGATACTAATTTATTTGTGTTCATTCATGATAATTTGTACTCATATGTTGCATATGATTTTCATAAATGTATTCACTGTAAAAACCCGTGTGGGATGATAATATAACATTATCAATTATATTCTATTAATTATAAATTTAGTTTCAGTTTAAACTTAAATGATTTTAATGAATATTTCCTTGGTCTTTCAATGAAAATAACTATTTTGGACAGAATATCATTTTGTTTAATTATCTTACTGTTTTCCGACCTAAGATGAATATTGTTTACAGTAATATCGTTTTGTTAATTTTCTACTTGCTTTCCAACATTTGCTCAGGCTATGATGGAATTACAAATATGACATGTTAAACGTTCAGAAATAATCAAGTTTTTTCTGGGACATAATTTAATGTCAGTATATTATTCCCATGTTTATTGTCACAATGCACAATATCACGTTGTATAAATACTACACAAACAACGTGTACAGGGACCGTCTCAAAACATAAATTATATAATTGCAATATCATTATACTTCATATTTAATACTTTCAAATAAAAACACATATGTTCTGTCAAAGGCAAATAGGTTGGAATATATAAATGGCTTTCTTACTTCAATCTATTCTTGAATTTTTTACTTTCTGATCTTTAAATGAACTTTAATTTGATTGTTGAAATATATATACAATGTCACGTGGCAACATATCAATAGAGGGACCGTATCAAAGACATAGATAACTACCTGTATAAATGATCAAAAATTTTTCGAGACATTCTGAGAATCTTGTTTCCAAGGATTTCGAATGGCCCATAGAAGCTTCCAAAACTCACCAATATATAAGTGTGAACCCGCAATTAACGTAAATTAAAAGAGAGAATTTAAAACATTAAACATGAGAATCAAGAAAACTAATTTTAGTGATTGTTTTTTAAGCCTTACTGTACATTTGTTTCTCTGTCTTTGTTTCGTGAAATGATGCAGACGCTATTTCACATTTTGCAACTGGTCATGTGACTCTCATGTGTTCAAATCCATGTCATATTTTATAATTATGAGGCATCAAAGTTATAATGTTGTAAAGCACAGAAAGAGATGCAGTAACACTCCTGGAAACAGTTCAGTGATTTTAGAAACAGCCAGCAGAATAGGATTTCGGAAGACAAAGTGGAGGACGCATAAACAAGGCACTGCTAAGAGAAAGTGACTTAAATATTACTCTGAATCCTCAGAACAAAGAAAGCATAAGGCCGTACGGTGACCTATAGTTGTTAATTTTCTGTGTCATTTGGTCTCTTGTGGAGAGTTGTCTCATTGGCAATCATACCACATCTTCTTTTTTATATATAAGAGCTGAACTTACAACAATGTAGGTCATAATTTAAATCTGCAGACAAAATATCTAATGACAGTCTGCTCTACCATGGATGAATTGGTTTGTAATTATTTTTAAGGACTGCTTTTGTCATTATAATTCATATTTAATTATTTTTATAATTTTAATTTTGTAATATTATAAACTTACCTGTCATAATTATGTTTGCGATCCACAACGATGATATCATAGGGTGACACGTTTTAAACCTGAAACAGACAATAATATTTCTCAGCAAAAAAAATTTAGCAACTCATAGATTTGAGATACTTTTATTCATGTGAAACTTATTGAACAGTTTGATAAAAAATTCGTAAGGGTTCCGCGGAAACCAGTGTCTCGCCTACTTTTGCTGTTAGTCGCAGGCTCAACAAAAATGGGGAAAAAATTATTAAAAATTTTCCTCTAGATACATTTTTTTACTATCTTTTGATTGTAAGAAGTTCTGTTCAAGTTTGGTAAAAATCCAAGAAGGTTTATGAATCAAAAAAATGTTTTAAAAACTTTAACTGCAGACTGTACGTAATGTTAACTGGAATAAAACTAAGTCCATTTATAAGTAATATACGGAAAAACAGGAAATAAATTTTTACAAACTTTCCTTCTAGATACTAGCTTTTGATCATAAACAAGCTTCTGTCCAAGTTTGGTACCAAACCAGGATAGTTTAAGAAAGTTATTAAAATTTTCAAAGCTTTAACCACAGAGTGAATGTAATGTTAACCGGCAGAAAAACTAAGTCCATATATGAGTAAAATACGGATAAACAGGATTTTTTTTTTTACAAAATTTTCTTCTGGATACTATCTTATGATTATAAACAATCTTCTGTACAAGTTTGGTACAAATCTAGGATATTTTAAGAAAGTTATTAAAATTTGAAAAACTTTAACCACAGAGTGAATGTAATGTTAACTGGCAGAAAAACTCAGTCCATTTACGAGTAAAATACGGATAAACAGGATTTTTTTTTTTACAAAATTTACTTCTGGATACTTTCTTATGATCATAAACAAGCTTCTGTCCAAGTTTGGTTGAAATGAAGGATAGATGAAGAAAGTTATTATAATTTCAAAAAACTTTAACCACAGAGTGAATATTTGTGGCTACCGCCGCCGACACTGTACGACGACGGAATGTAGGATCGCTATGTCTCGTTTTTGCGACAAAAGTCGCAGACTCGACAAAAAGGAAAACATCTTTTAATAAATTTCATGCATCCAAAGCACTTTTCTGGATTTATCATCATCAGGAAAAATATTTGAAAGCCAAGGATGTATAAGAACTGAAACATTGAAGAGCTATATGACTAAAAATTCGTAAGGGTTCCCCGGAACCCAGTGTCTCGCCTACTTTTGCTGTTAATCGCAGGCTCAACAAAAATGAGATGAGGAAAAAGTTAAATAAAAATATTCCTCTGGATACAATTTTTTTATTGTAAGAAGCTTCTGTCCAAGTTTGGTAAAAATCCAGGATAGTTTATGAATCTAATAAATGTTTTAAACAAGAGTGCACACGCTGAAATGTCTCGCCTTCTTTACTAATCATTGATATTATGTTGATAGTCCTAAATATAAAGCTTTATTACAACTGTCACATAAACTTAACATTAACCAAGTAAACTAAACTTTAACCAATGAACCATGAAAATGAGGTCAAGGTCAGATGACACCTGCCAGCTAGACATGTAAACCTTACAATCATTCCATACACCAAATATAGTAGACCTATTGCATACAGTATAAGAAAAACAGACCAAAACACAATAACTTAACTATAACCACTGAACCATGAAAATGAGGTCAAGGTCAAATAAAACCTTCATGACTGACATATAGATCATAAAATATTTCCATACACCAAATATAGTTGAACTATTGCATATAGTATTAGAAAAAAAGACCAAAACTCAAAAACTTAACTTTGACCACTGAACCATGAAAATGAGGTCAAGGTCAGATGACACCTGCCAGCTAGACATGTAAACCTTACAATCATTCCATACACCAAATATAGTAGACCTATTGCATACAGTATAAGAAAAACAGACCAAAACACAAAAACTTAACTATAACCACTGAACCATGAAAATGAGGTCAAGGTCAGATGACACCTGCCAGTTGGACATATACACCTTACAGTCCTTCCATACACCGAATATACTAGACCTATTGCTTATAGTATCTGAGATATGGACTTGACCACCAAAACTTAACCTTGTTCACTGATCCATGGAATGAGGTCGAGGTCAGGTGAAAACTGTCTGACGGGCATGAGGACCTTGCAAGGTACGCACATACCAAATATAGTTATCCTATTACTTATAATAAGAGAGAATTTAACATTACAAAAAATCTTAACTTTTTTTTCAAGTAGTCACTGAACCATGAAAATGAGGTCAAGGACATTGGACATGTGACTGACGGAAACTTCGTAACATGAGGCATCCATATACAAAGTATGAAGCATCCAGCTCTTCCACCTTCTAAAATATAAATGCTTTTAAGAAGTTAGCTAACGCCGCCGCCGACGGATCACTATCCCTATGTCATGTATGTCGAGCTTTCTGCGACAATCGTCTCAGGCTCGACAAATATTTAACTGCAGACTGTATCTAATGTTAACTGAAAGAAAAACTAATTAGATATAGGAAGATGTGGTATGAGTGCCAATGAGACAACTCTCCATCCAAGTAACAATTTATAAAAGTAAACCATTAGAGGTCAAGGTACGGCCTTCAACACGGAGCCTTGGCTCACACCGAACAGCAAGCTATAAAGGGCCCCAAAAATTACTAGTGTTAAACCATTCAAACGGGAAAACCAACGGTCTAATCTATATAAAAACGAGAAACGAGAAACACATATGAACTACATAAACAGACAACAACTACTGTACATCAGATTCCTGACTTAGGACAGGTGCAAACATTTGCAGCGGGATTTATTAGTCCATTTATAAGTAAAATATGGATAAACAAGTACAAAATGTTTATAAAAATTTCCTTCTAGATACTAGCTTTTGATCATAAACAAACTTCTGTCCATGTTTGGTACAAATCCAGGATAGTTTAAGAAAGTTATTAAAATTTTAAAAACTTTAACCACAGAGTGAATATAATGTTTCCTGGCAGAAAAACTAAGTCAATTTATAAGTAAAATAAGTAAGACAGGAATTTTTTTTTTTTAAATTTACTTCTGGATACTATCTTATGATCATAAACAAGCCTCTGTCCAAGTTTGGTACAAATCCAGGATAGTTTGAGAAAGTTATTAAAATTTGAAAAACTTTAACCACAGAGTGAATGTAATGTTTCCTGGCAGAAAAACTAAGTCCATTTATAAGTAAAATACGGAAAAACAGGATTTTTTTTTTTACAAAATTTACTTCTGGATACTATCTAATGATCATAAACAAGCTTCTGTCCAAGTTTGGTAGAAATCCAGGATAGTTTAAGAAAGTTATTAAAATTTCAAAAACTTTAACCACAGAGTGAATATTTGTGGAAGCCGCTGCCGCCGACGCCAACGAAATGTAGGATTGCTATGTCTCGCTTTTTCGACAAAAGTCGAAGGCTCGACAAAAAGGATCTAAAATATTAGACAAATCTATCTAAGGTCAACTTTGCCTGAAGGAATTGAAACCTTAGTTCATAGCAATTTCTAAAGGAAAAATATTAGTGCACATTTAAAAGTTAATATACACATTCTTAAACTTGCCCTAACCACACCAAGGTACAAGGTATTCAGAAAATAAAGACAAATTTTACATTTTTAAAACGAGTTACCATGGCACATAAACATAATATTATCAATGATACATGAAAATGAGGGTCATATTCAGATAAACCCTGCCAGACAGACATGAACACCTTACAATCATTTCATACGCCAAATATAGTTGACATAATGGACATATTGGTTAGAGTATCTTAAAAACAGACATAACCAGGAAAACTTAATATTAACTGTGAAACTGAGGTCAAGGTCAGATGATACATGCCAGACAGACATGTACACCTTACAATAATTCAATGCACCAAATATAGTTGACCCATTGCTTATAGTATCTAAGAAACAGACTTAAACAGGAAAACTAAACTAAACCTTGATCAATGAACCATGAACCATGATAATGAGGTCAAGGTCAGCTGACCATGCCAGACAGACATGTACAAATTACAAACGTTCAATACAGTGAATGTATTTGACCTAGTACTTATAGTATCTTAAAAAAGACCAAACTACTGAAGCTTAAAATTGACCAATGAACCAAGAAAATAAGGTCAAATACAGAAACTACCGGCCAGACAGATATGTAAAAATTACCTCATTTCATACACCAAATATATAAGACCTATTACAGTATTTGAATCAAAGCGCGAAAGCGCTGTAAAGGCAGTTAATTACAGGTTGTGTGTATTTTTAGTCCAGTTATATCATTATCTTGCATAGTACATTGTACTTATCAGAGGTGGCTTTCAGTATTTAAGATTTAGAGTTCTCTAATGATATTGAACAAGTTTTATGAATGTCATATTCTGAGCACTATATGAAGGCGATTGTTCTCACTTGTTTATGAACTAGTGCATTATGTCCAGTTTGTACCTTTTTTATCTATGTTTATAGTCAAATACTGTTTAAAATAGTTTGGCATTTTCTTTTAAGTAATAAGTAAATGTTATCAACTGTATTTTATTCAACTTTGCAAATGTGGTTTGTTACTGGTAAGTACATTGTATGGATGATAGTTGTTTCATTGGCAATCATAACACATCTCCTTATTTATATAATGATCTATATTCAACGACCTCAGGTACAAAAAAAATGTATGTAACTAAACTATGATGGGAAACCTTTGACTTCTTTCTTTAATATAAACTTTTGATTTGGTACCATAGAACTATGTAGAATAAATGTACATTGCAACATGTCAACTCTTGCAATGACAATACTTTTTTTAGAAACTATAACTCCAAGCAAAATTATATTTCCAAGTATAAAGTAATTTATGAATGAAACAAGAGTGCACACGCTGAAATGTCTCGCCTTCTTTACTAATCATTGATATTATGTTGATAGTCCTAAATATAAAGCTTTATTACAACTGTCACATAAACTTAACATTAACCAAGTAAACTAAACATTGACCAATGAACCAAGAAAATGAGGTCAAGGTCAGATGAACCATGCTAGGCAGGCATGTACAGCTAACAATTCTTCCATACAACAAATATAGTTGACCTATTGCTTATAGTTTAAGAAAAACAGACCAAAACACAAAAACTTAAAACTGAGCAATGAACCTTGAATATGAGGTCAAGGTAAAAAAAAACCTGCGTGACTGACATATAGATCATAAAATATTTCCATACACCAAATATAGTTGAACTATTGCATATAGTATTAGAAAAAAAGACAAAACTCAAAAACTTAACTTTGACCACTGAACCGTGAAAATGAGGTCAAGGTCAGATGACACCTGCCAGCTAGACATGTACACCTTACAATCATTCCATACACCATGTACACCAAATATAGTAGACCTATTGCATACAGTATAAGAAAAACAGACCAAAACACAAAAACTTAACTATAACCACTGAACCATGAAAATGAGGTCAAGATCAGATGACACCTGCCAGTTGGACATGTACACCTTACAGTCCTTCCATACACCGAATACTAGACCTATTGCTTATAGTATCTGAGATATGGACTTGACCACCAAAACTTAACCTTGTTCACTGATCCATGAAATGAGGTCGAGGTCAAGTGAAAACTGTCTGACGGGCATGAGGACCTTGCAAGGTATGCACATACCAAATATAGTTATCCTATTACTTATAATAAGAGAGAATTCAACATTACAAAAAATCTTAACTTTTTTTTCAAGTAGTCACTGAACCATGAAAATGAGGTCAAGGACATTGGACATGTGACTGACAGAAACTTCGTAACATGAGGCATCCATATACAAATTATGAAGCATCCAGACCTTCCACCTTCTAAAATATAAAGCTTTTAAGAAGTTAGCTAACGCCGCCGCCGGATCACTATCCCTATGTCGAGCTTTCTGCGACAAAAGTCGCAGGCTCGACAAAAAGGAGTTCTTAATTAAGTAATAGACTGATTCGCTGAGCGCAGCTGGATACACCCACAGAGGTCCAAACCTGAACAGTTGGGGCAAAAATGGACACAATATTCAAGCTTGATACAGGTCTGAATTTGGATTGTAATTAAATATTTGACAGATTATAGTTTCTGAATAAATGTAGTCAAAGAACTTGAAATCGGTTATATGAATTGAATTTATATTCAATTAAAGATTTCTTGCTGTTGTGCAATACACTGTGCTGTTGCGCAATACTTAATAAATCTGTTGCCAGACTATAAACAAATAAAGTTCAATTTCTTCTCAATGTCATATTTGAAATTTATGAAAATCAATAGGGAGATTACATCAATAGCTATAAATAATTCACCAAAGTTTCATGCGAACTGCTTAAAGCATTTTTGAGTTGTTGTCCAAAAACTGGAAAATCCCCCCCTTTTTAATGAATAAAACCCCATAACTCAGAAATGTAAAATCTAAAATTTATAAAATTCTAAAGGGAGCTTACGGATTGATAATTTAGTCTTAGATGCAAGATTTTTTTATCAGTTGTTTGTGGCTTTGAACTAGCTGTCAGTAAATGCGAGTACTCTCAGATCTGTACTTAGTGTCTTTTTGTTGTTTGGATGTACAACTACCCGGCCACGTCCACTTGTATTTGTATTTATCCATCTGATGAGTTAAGCCTCTTTCAACTGATTTTTATAGTTCGCTCTTATATTGTACTGTTACACCACTGTCCCAGGTTTGGGGGTGGGTTGGGATCCAGCGAACATGTTTAACCCCGCCACATTCTGTATGTACATGTATGTGCCTGTCCCAAGTCAGGAGCCTGTAATTCAGTGGTTGTCCTTTGTTTATGTGTTGCATATTTGTTATTCGTTCATTTTTTGTACATAAATTAGGCCGTTAGTTTTCTTGTTTGAATTGTTTTACATTGTCATTTCGGGGCCTTTTATAGCTCACTGTGCAGTATGTGCTTTGCTCATTGTTGAAGGCCGTACTGTGACCTATAGCTGTTAATTTCTGTGTCATTTAAATTTGGTCTCTTGTGGAGAGTTGTCTCATTGGCAATCATACCACATCTTCTTTTTCATATTTACATCAACAGATATAAATTAAACAATTCACCAAAGTCAAGGTGAGACAACAAAACTTAGTTGTAAGATCTCTGAAAGTTTTTCTAATTGTTGGAGATTGTATGGTGACAGTAACACCTGTAACTGCTTAACCCATTTCTTATGCACTTTGGTTCGATAAACTCACTGAATATCATACCACATCTCCTTATTTTTATATGCATTACAATTTACATGTGCATGTAATTGTAAATAATATTTATATATATATATCAGAACAAACTTCATTGCGTCACTTTTATTTATGCATCCTTTGGCACAATACAAGTTCTAAAATTACACAACATAAAACAACTAAATGTTATTTCAGATGAAAGTTTTGTTTCAGTTCCATTCATAGGATTTATTAGAATTTTGTATGTTTTGCCAAGTCCAATAATTAGCTCTATGTGCACGTGTTAATTGGAGACTTTTCTATCCCGTATAAGAGTTTTGGAACTAATTCTGTTTCTTTTTTTGAAAAAAGTGAGCAAACAAATCTTGCACATTTAAACCTTTGTCTGCCATCACACTGTCACCTGGATCACATAATTGAACTATTCTACATCTTTCAACTATTTCACAGTCACTGGTACAACCAACATATGCATTAGAGACATAGTTGACTAAACCACCAGGTGTCGAACATACAAGTATTTTCAGTGTTTCTGTTTTTATATGATGAAAAGGTTGCCTGAGCTCTAGGAGCTTTAGGTTTTATCACGGGATATTCTGTGCTGTCAATAATAATCCAAGTTGTAGGAAACTTTAATTCTAAGTTGGATGGCGAAAAATACCTGACTAAACCACTAAATGGCCAAGTGTTAGCCTCACGCCACTGTTTAGACATAAAAACAATCCATGTTTACACAATATTCTTAACACTAGTTTCAATCTAGAATCTAGACAGTTCAAAGTTGGTTGTATAATGCATCAATTTCATCAAAGTCATAAAAAAACTGATTTTCAAATGACACCCTATCAATTTGAAAATATATGTATCTCAAACAATGTGCTGTTGGACCAAGTGTGTTCAAAACAAATAAAAATTTAGTATACAACTCTAAACTGGTATAAAAATGCATGGCTGTGTCACGTGTCTTCATTTCAAAATTCTCTGCTGAAAATATAGGCATTGATGGTGTTTGCGTAATTCCATCTGTGAAGCTCAACATTAGCTCGGCAGTTGGTGGTGGACAGTCATAAATCCTGTCTGCAGTATGAATTACTTCTTCAGGAAAACCAACTTTACAATCAAAACTTTCCTCTAGATTTCTACTACAATATTCATCAAGTTTAGTTCTTTTGTTTTCGAAGGAAACTGCCCTGATTTTTCTTTTTGCGGACGATTCAGTCTCTTGCTTGGTCCAGGAAAATAGGCTGGGATTGGCAGTAGACTTAAGTCTCTGTATGGTGGGTTTGTGCCCTGAAAAAGGTTATAAAACATTAGTTTTTTGATAATTAAATGAACTTCCATTAGCAATGCATACTTTGTACAGAAGCAAGTTAACTCGTACCATTGTAAACTCGTACCACTGGGAGGTCGTACCAATCAGAACTCGTACCACTGCAAACTCGTACCATTAAAAATATATTCAAAAATATGAAAGTTTTATGATTTTTTTTTGGTAAACTAAATAAAAAAAGTTGAATTACTTGAATTTTATACTAGATTTTAATGAAAACTTAGACAAAAATACGAATGTTTTATGATTATTTTTTTTTTAAAGCTTTATACAAAAAATTAAAATATCTTTGAAATTTATACCAGATTTTAATGAAAACTTAGACAAAAATACAAATGTAATTTCTTAATTACCATGCTAATAAATATATTAAATTCCTTTGATTGTGTGATTATTGGCCTGGTTGATTATTAACTAATCAACTTGTTTTTTTTTATCTTTAACTAATCAACTTGTATAATCATATAAGCATGGTCATATTCTGCTGAAATGTGCTGAATATTGTATAAAAATAAATTTCATACTTTCTAACTGTTGGTCATAAACAATTTTAAACCTTTAAAACACAATCAATAAATTCTTTCATTAAATAAAATTCCTTTTAGAAACAATAGAAAAATACCCAAATCTATTCAATGTTACTGATTTGGAATGATTAAAAATTAAATCAAATAGTTGTCAGTAAAAGTTTAAATAAAATGCTTCGCTGGGCGCAGCTTGATACGACCGCAGAGGTCGAACCCTGAACAGTTGGGGCAAGTATGGACACAACATTCAAGCTTGATACAGCTCCGAATTTGGATTGTGATTAAATATTTGACACAGCATAGGTTTCTGACACAGAAAGAATGTGGTCTAAGAACTTCAATTTTTTTAATTTACCTATTCTGGTCCAATGTCCAAAATCAAAATACATGGTTAGATTCAGCATATCAAAGAACCCCATATATTCAATTTTTGTTGAAATCAAACAAAGTTTAATTTTGGACCCCAACTTGGACAAACTTGAAAACTGGTCCCATAATCAAAAATCTAAACACATGTTTAGATTCAGCATATCAAAGAACCCCAAAAATTCAATTTTTGTTAAAATCAAACTAAGTTTAATTTTGGACCCTTTGGACCTTAATGTAGACCAATTTAAAAAACAGGACCCAAAAATAAAAATCTAAAAACACGGTTAGATTTGGCATATCAAAGAACCCCAATAATTCAATTTTTGATGAAATCAAACAAAGTTTAATTTTGGACCCTTTTGACCTCAATATGAACCAATTTGATAGCAGGCCCACAAAATAAAAAATCTAAGTACATGGTAAGATTCAGCATATCAAAGAACCCCATATATTCAATTTTTGTTGAAATCAAACAAAGTTTAATTTTGGACCCCAATTTGGACCAACTTGAAAACTGGGCCAAAAATCTAAAATCTAAATACATGTTTAGATTCAGCATATCAAAGAACCCCATATATTCAATTTTTGTTGAAATCAAACAAAGTTTAATTTTGGACCCCAACTTGGACCAACTTGAAAACTGGTCCCATAATCAAAAATCTAAACACATGTTTAGATTCAGCATATCAAAGAACCCCAAAAATTCAATTTTTGTTAAAATCAAACTAAGTTTAATTTTGGACCCTTTGGACCTTAATGTAGACCAATTTAAAAAACAGGACCCAAAAATAAAAATCTAAAAACACGGTTAGATTTGGCATATCAAAGAACCCCAATAATTCAATTTTTGATGAAATCAAACAAAGTTTAATTTTGGACCCTTTTGACCTCAATATGAACCAATTTGATAGCAGGCCCACAAAATAAAAAATCTAAGTACATGGTAAGATTCAGCATATCAAAGAACCCCATATATTCAATTTTTGTTGAAATCAAACAAAGTTTAATTTTGGACCCCAATTTGGACCAACTTGAAAACTGGGCCAAAAATCTAAAATCTAAATACATGTTTAGATTCAGCATATCAAAGAACCCCATATATTCAATTTTTGTTGAAATCAAACAAAGTTTAATTTTGGACCCCAACTTGGACCAACTTGAAAACTGGTCCCATAATCAAAAATCTAAACACATGTTTAGATTCAGCATATCAAAGAACCCCAAAAATTCAATTTTTGTTAAAATCAAACTAAGTTTAATTTTGGACCCTTTGGACCTTAATGTAGACCAATTTAAAAAACAGGACCCAAAAATAAAAATCTAAAAACACGGTTAGATTTGGCATATCAAAGAACCCCAATAATTCAATTTTTGATGAAATCAAACAAAGTTTAATTTTGGACCCTTTTGACCTCAATATGAACCAATTTGATAGCAGGCCCACAAAATAAAAAATCTAAGTACATGGTAAGATTCAGCATATCAAAGAACCCCATATATTCAATTTTTGTTGAAATCAAACAAAGTTTAATTTTGGACCCCAATTTGGACCAACTTGAAAACTGGGCCAAAAATCTAAAATCTAAATACATGTTTAGATTCAGCATATCAAAGAACCCCATATATTCAATTTTTGTTGAAATCAAACAAAGTTTAATTTTGGACCCCAACTTGGACCAACTTGAAAACTGGTCCCATAATCAAAAATCTAAACACATGTTTAGATTCAGCATATCAAAGAACCCCAAAAATTCAATTTTTGTTAAAATCAAACTAAGTTTAATTTTAGACCCTTTGGACCTTAATGTAGACCAATTTAAAAAACGGGACCCAAAATTAAAAATCTAAATACACGGTTAGATTTGGCATATCAAAGAACCACAATAATTAAATTTTTGATGAAATCAAACAAAGTTTAATTTTGGACCCTTTTGACCTCAATATGAACCAATTTGATAGTGGGCCCATAAATAAAAAATCTAAATACATGGTAAGATTCAGCATATCAAAGAACCCCATATATTCAATTTTTGTTGAAATCAAACAAAGTTTAATTTTGGACCCCAATTTGGACCAACTTGAAAACTGGGCCAAAAATCTAAATACATGTTAAGATTCAGCATATCAAAGAACCCCATATATTCAATTTTTGTTGAAATCAAACAAAGTTTAATTTTGGACCCCAATTTGGACCAACTTGAAAACTGGGCCAAAAATCTAAAATCTAAATACATGTTTAGATTCAGCATATCAAAGAACCCCATATATTCAATTTTTGTTGAAATCAATCAAAGTTTAATTTTGGACCCCAACTTGGACCAACTTGAAAACTGGGCCCATAATCAAAAATCTAAACACATGTTTAGATTCAGCATATCAAAGAACCCCAAGAATTCAATTTTTGTTAAAATCAAACTAAGTTTAGTTTTGGACCCTTTGGACCTTAATGTAGACCAATTTAAAAACGGGACCCAAAATTAAAAATCTAAATACACGGTTAGATTTGGCATATCAAAGAACCCCAATAATTCAATTTTTGATGAAATCAAACAAAGTTTAATTTTGGACCTTTTTGACCTCAATATGAACCAATTTGATAGCGGGTCCACAAATAAAAAATCTAAATACATGGTTAGATTCAGCATATCAAAGAACCCCAAGAATTCAATTTTTGATGAAATCAAACAAAGTTTAATTTTGGACCCTTTTGACCTCAATGTGGACAAAGTTGATAACGGGGCCCAAAAATCAAAAATCTAAATACATGGTTAGATTCAGCATATCAAAGAACCCCATATATTCAATTTTTGTTGAAATCAAACAAAGTTTAATTTTGGACCCCGATTTGGACCAACTTGAAAACTGGGCCCATAATCAAAAATCTAAATACATGTTTAGATTCAGCATATCAAAGTACTCTAAAAATTCAATTTTTGTTAAAATCAAACTAAGTTTAATTTTGGACCCTTTTGACCTTAATGTAGACCAATTTGAAAACGGAACCAAAAATTAAGAATCTAAATACACGGTTAGATTCGGCATATCAAAGAACCCCAATAATTCAATTTTTGATGAAATCAAACAAAGTTAAATTTTGGACCCTTTAGACCTCAATGTGGACCAATTTAAAAACGGGGCCCAAAATCCAAAAACTTAATACACGGTTAGATTCAGCATATTAAAGAACCCCAAGAATTCAAGAATAAAACCCCATTGAAATTGATCAAGAAATAAGCAATTTATACGAAGTATCTTCTTTTGCACAATACTGTGCAATTGAATATTTCTTGCTATTGTGCAATACTGTACAATTGACAATTTCTTGCTATTGCGCAATATTGTGCTATTGGATATTTCTTGCTATTGCGCAATAGAAGATTTCTTGCTATTGCGCAATACTGTGCAATTGAAGATTTCTTGCAATTGTGCAATACTGTGCAATTGAAAATTTCTTGCTATTGCACAATACTTATTATATAATAATTTACACATCCTGTTTGGTGTGTATCTCCTACCATATCATTATTATTTGCTTTTAAATATTAATCAGAAATAACCAACTCAAAATGGAAAATTTTAAAAGAAAAAGAAAAGGAAAAAAAAAATCCCCCCCCCCCCCAAATTTTTTGAACCCCCTTATGATTCATCACCCCCAAACTCAATCCCAGCCTTCCCTTTGTGGTATGGTACCTTGCAGTACAATTTCAGAGAGATCCATACACTTGAACACAAGTTATTGTCTGGAAACTAGAAAAATGCTTATTTTTGGCCCCTTTTTGGCCCCCAATTCCTAAACGTTTCGGGCAATTACCCCCAAACTCAATTCCAGCTTTCCCTTTGTGATATGGAACCTTGTAGTACAATTTCAGAAATATCCAAACACTTACACACAAGTTATTGTCCTGAAACTAGAAAAATGCTTGTTTTTTGCCCCTTTTTTGGCCCCTAATTCCTAAAATTTTGAGGCAATTACCCCCAAAATCAATTACAGCCTTCCCTTTGTGATATGGAACCTTGTGGTACAATGTCAGAGAGATCCATACACTTACACACAAGTTATTGTCTGGAAGTTACAAAAATGCTTATTTTTGGCCCCTTTTTGGCCCCTAATTCCTTAACTGTTGGTACCATAACCCCCAAAATCAATCCCCACCTTCCTTTCGTGGTATTGAACCTTATGATAAAATTTCATGGAGATCCATTCACTTAAACTAAAGTTAGAGTGCGAAAACCAATGTGTCTTCGGACGACGCCGGACGACGCCAGACGACGACGACGACGCCAACGTCATACCAATATACGACCAAAAAATTTTCAATTTTTGCGGTCGTATAAAAAGAGTCTATTCAAGGGAGACAACAAAGCCAATCTGCCACGGTTTTCTCTATCCAATTAGACAAGGAAAATTAGCTACAAATTGGTTATTGTAATTTCAAATTATATACATTTTACAGACTTAAGAGGTATTGAGTGAAATTAAAGTATATATTCATCATTAAACACCTTTTGAATGCATTTAAATAAGTTGGTACGAGTTTACAATGGTATGAATTTACCGTGGTACGAGTTAGCAGTGGTACGAGTTTGCATTGGAACGAGTTTTTGTGTAGTGGTACGAGTTGACATTGGTACGAGTTACAATGGTACGAGATAACTATAATTCCTTTGTACTCGTAACCTGGCAAAATATTAACTAGATTTATTCATTACAATCTGGATAAAACTATGTTAGCCTGATTCAATGTACATCAAAATGTATGTTATGTAAATCCAAAGGACAAATGTAACAATGAGAGACGTATGCAACAAACATACATTGTTTGTACCTAAATAACTATAATATAGATGAGAGCATGTCATTGTTTTGTTCCTGTTAACATTGTCATTGATATTTTTCAAGAAAGTCTATGAGGCATAGCTTATGCATTCCTGTCATTACTACAGATGCATAATTACTGCTAAAATAATTCTCAGTATGATATACCTCTTGTAAGAAATCATTATAATTGTAGCAAGCACCAAAAAATCTCAAACAGATCACATTAAATCGTAATCCAAAAAATTATGACGTCTTGAATTAACCACCCCCTTTTATTCTAAAACGATAATTGCGGTTGTAAACTGACTTTGGTTTATTCGCATGGCGATTACATATATAACTATATATTTTAAAAAGAAAATAGAGTTTTACCATGAATAGTTTCCTGCACGTAGTCTTTTTCAGTAAAATGTGCCTTGCAAACAACAGCTGTTTGAGATGGACTCCACGATTTCATCGTGTTCTCGTCCAATCTGCGTATGGGCCATGGCGTTGATCCAACTTTTCCTTCTTTTTAAGTCATTTGGAAATGCATGTCCTCCTCTTAAATGACATCCAAGTACACAACAACAAGTACTTGGCATCGTTAATTAATGCACAGTGCAGAAACCGGAAGTGGAAGTACAGGATCGGCTACCACGGCGCCACCTATTCAGGAACGATAATTTGCTACTTTATATAACTGCGAAATAACTATAACGTTAGACGGGTTCGCGTGCATAAACAGAAATGCGCTTTTAATTGTATAATATAATTCATGTTCAGTCGACCTTTAATTATTATATCAACGACTGAAATGATTTATAAACATCTAGATTGCAGATAACACTCGAAATTAACCCGACCTCTTTCCACACGGAATTCAAATAATTCTAGTTTGTCAATCGGTTGACTGCTTATAATGTAAAATACAAATATATCAAAAGTTTTTAAAACTAACAAAACAATGATCGTTTCTCTATTTCCCAATGTAAATGAAATGAGACAAAACACATTTTATACCACAATAAGAAGAGGAGAGAATCAACATTTTCCGGATCTACTTGGAGCTAAATGACCCCCCACGTAGATAAGTTGGATATCGCGGAAAAAAATATTAACACGGCAACTAGAAAGGCATTAAAGCACTGCCTTTAAAAACAGACAAAAACACAAAAACTTAACATTGACCAATGAACCATAAAATGAGGTCACTGTCAGATGAAATCTGCTAGACGGACATGTACATCTTACAATCATTCCATACACCACATATACATATGTATAGTTGACCTACTGCTTATAGTATCTGATAAATGGACCACATCATGTAACTTTAACCTTGATCACTGATTTATGAATTGATGGATGCAGACCTTGCAAGAAACTCATATACCAAATATAGTTATCCTATTACTCATAAGTGAGAAATTCAGATGAAAATAAACTGCTTCGCTGAGCGCAGCTAGATACGCCCGCAGAGGTCCAACCCTGAACAGTTGGGGCAAAAATGGACACAATATTCAAGCTTGATTCAGGTCTGAATTTGGATTGTAATTAAATATTTGACATATTATAGGTGTCTGAATAAATGTATTCAAAGAACTTGTAATTGGTTATATGAATTGAATTTATGTTCAATTAAAGATTTCTTGCTGTTGTGCAATACTTAGTAAATCTGTTGTCAGACTATAAACAAATAAAGTATAATTAATTCTCAATGTCATATTAGAAATTTATGAAAATAAAAAGGGAGCTTACATCAATAGATATAAACAATTCACCAAAGTTTCATGAGAATTGGTGACAGCATTTTTGAGTTATTGTCAGAAAACTGGAAAATCACCCCTTTTTAATGAATAAAACCCCATAACTCAGAAATGTAAAATGTAAAATTTATAAAATTCTAAAGGGAGCTTACATCAATACATACAAACAATTCACCAAAGTTTCATAAGAATTGCTGAAAGCATTTGTGAGTTTTTGTCTGATAACTGGAAAGTCCCCCTTTTTTTATGAATAAAACCCCGTAACTCGGAAACGTAAAATCTAAAATTTATAAAAATCAAAAGGGAGCTCATGTCAATAGATATAAACAATTCACCACAATTTCTTGCAAGTTGGTGAAAGCATTCTTGACTTATTGTCCGAAAACTGGAAAATCCCCCTTTTTTTAATGAATAAAACCCCATAACTCGGAAACGTAAAATCTAAATTTTATAAAAAACGAATGGGAGCTCACGTCAATAGATATAAACAATTCACCAAAGTTTTATGCAAATTGGTTTAAGCAATTTTGAGTTAATGTCCGACATGTTGACGACGGACAGACGGACGGACAGACGGACGGACGGACAACGGTATACCATAATACGTCCCGTAAACGGGCGTATAAAAACACTATAAATTTTTTTCAGCAGTTGCAGATTTATTGGATCCAAGTTGGTAGTTAAACGATTAATTTTCCCCTTCACGACCAAATACCAATTAACATTATGGTCATCAAAATTAGTAAATGACCAAATAAATGACAAATGAAATATATCAGTACTCTTTACTTGTATGTGATCTTTTTTCGTACACCACTGACAATGATTTTTAATTCAACCATTACTGAACCTCCATTTTTTGTTTTTGAGTGTTAAAAGCTATGGTGTTTTACCTTTTGATATTTAGTGGTTTTTATCTTTCACTCTTTCTTTATTTTTGTTACTTTGTGAATGACACTACTAATAAGTAAAATAACAAAAATATCCAACTCCAAGGAAAATTCAAAACGGAAAGATCCTTATCAAATGGCAAAATCAAAAGCTCATACACATCAAACGAATGAAAACAACTGTCATATTCCTGACTTGGTACAGGCATTTCCTTATGCAGAAAATGGTGGATAAAACCTGGTTTTATAGCTAGCTAAACCTCTCACTTGTATGACAATCGCATAAAATTCCATTATACATGTATTGACAACAATGTGTAAACAAAATAAACTGCTTCTCTGAGCGAAGCTGGATACGCCCGCAGAGGTCCAACCATGAACAATTGGGGCAAAAATGGACACAATTTTCAAGCTTGATACAGGTCTGAATTTGGATTGTAATTAAATATTTGATACATCATAGGTTTCTGAATAAATGTAGTCAAAGAATCTTGAAATTGGTTATATGAAAGATTTCTTGCTGTTGTGAAATACACTGTGCTGTTGCGCAATACTTTGTAAATCTGTTGTCAGACTAGAAACAAATAAAACTCAGAAACGTAAAATCGAAAATTTATAAAAATCAAAAGGGAGCTTACAAAAATAGATATAAACAATTTACCAAAGTTTCATAAAAAAAATGCTGAAAGCATTTTTGAGTTATTGTCGGAAAACTGGAAAATCTCCCTTTTTGTAATGAATAAAACCCCATAAATCGGAAACTTATAGTCTGAAATTTATAAAAATCAAAAGGGAGGTCATGTCGATAGAAATAAACAATTCACCAAAGTTTCTTGCAAATTGGTGAAAATGTTTTTGAGTTATTGTCTGAAAACTGGAAATTCCCCCTTTTTTTTAATGAATAAATCCCCAAAACTCGTAAATGGGAAATCCGAAGTTTATAAAAAACGAAAGGGAGCTCACGTCAATAGATATGAACAATTCACAAAAGTTTCATGCAAATTGGTGAAATTTTTTTTGAGTTATTGTCGGAAAACTGGAAAATCCCTCCTTTTTAAATGAATAAAACCCCAAAACTCGGAAACGGTAAATCCAAATTTTATAAAAAATTCGTAAGGGTTCCGCGGAAACCCAGTGTCTCGCCTACTTTTGCTGTTAATCGCAGGCTCAACAAAAATGAGGAAAAAAATTAATAAAAATATTCCTTTCTATACCATCTTTTGATTGTAAGTAGCTTCTGTCCAAGTTTGGTACAAATCCAGGATAGTTTATGAATCTAATAAATGTTTTAAAAACTTAAACTGCAGACTGTATGTAATGTTAACTGGAAGAAAAACTAAGTCCATTCATAAGTAAAATACGGAAAAAAATGAACAAAATTTCCTTCTAGATACTAGCTTTTAATCATAAACAAGCTTCTGTCCAAGTTTGGTACAAATCCAGGATAGTTTAAGAAAGTTGCTAAAATTTTAAAAACTTTAACCACAGAGTGAATGTAATGTTAACTGGCAGAAAAACTAAGTCCATTTATAAGTAAAATACGGAAAAAATGGAATTTTTTTTTTACAAAATTTACTTCTGGATACTATCCTTTAATCATAAACAAGCTTCTTTCCAAGTTTGGTAGAAATCCAGGATAGTTTAAGAAAGTTATTAAAATTTCAAAAACTTTAACCACAGAATGAATGTAATGTTTCTTGGCAGAAAAACTTAGTCCATTTATAAGTAAAATACAGAAAAAATGGAATTTTTTTTTTACAAAATTTACTTTTGAATATTATCTTATGATCATAAACAAGCTTCTGTCCAAGTTTGGTAGAAATCCAGGATAGTTTAAGAAAGTTATTAAAATTTCAAAAACTTTAACCACAGAGTGAATATTTGTGGACGCCGCCGATGACTACGACGACGACGCCGACGGAATGTAGGATCGCTATGTCTCGCTTTTTCGACAAAAGTCGAAGGCTCGACAAAAACTAAAGGGAGCTCACGTCAATAGATATGAACAATTCACAAAAGTTTCATGCAAATTGGTGAATATTTTTATGAGTTATTGTCCGAAAACTGGAAATCCCCCCTTTTTTAATGAATAAAACCCCAAAACTCTTAAATGGTAAATCTGAATTTATGAAAAACGAAAGGGAGCTCACATCAATAGATATAAACAATTCACCAAAGTTTCATGCATATCAATTTAAGCGTTTTAGAATTAATGTCTGACATGTTGACGACGGACGGACAGACAGACAGACGGACGGACGGATGGTCAACGGTATACCATGATACGTCCCGTAAACGGGGTATAAAAACCAGATATAATTGGTAAAAATGTCAAAAATAAGGGTACAGCAGTCAACATTGTGTTATAATTAATCTTAATCACTATAAAAACAAACAAATATGTCAACAAAGAAAAACAAAATGGCATATAGACAAAGCACATAAGCAAAAATGTAGGACAAGAATGCAAAAAATGACAATAGCACAATGGCAGGATGTATAAGTACCGAGCCATGCCAAAAGGATATTACCAAAAATGGACTTAACAGTAAAGGTAAATAATTTACAAAGACAAATAAAGGAGCATGATAACACGTAAATGTTAGTACCTAGAATCTATACTTCAAGATCATCATGTATTATTTTTGAAGTTGATACCGAATATTTTACAACAAGGTCTTGGTATCTTCTGATGAACTTTTTTAGAAAAAGAACAAGACGTAATTTGACGTAAGCCTGGTTCATCAACTTTTTGCTCAGACACTGGTGACGTTTTATAAAGTCAGAGTAGTAGCTGCAAGCTCTTGAATACCAATTGAGTTGGGAAATGTATGTTCCATATGCAGGTGAAGTTGGTATATTGCTACAAAGGTGGGGGAAATTGATTATTTCAAAATTAAAATCGTCTCGTTTGTCATAGATTCTGGTACTGAGATAACCGCTTATGTCAAATTCGAAGTATAAGTCTAAAAATGAGGCAGATCTCCTTTTATTATATGTTGCCATAGCTACAGGTAATTATAAAAGTAGCATACATGTAACATTTACCTGACCTTACAATACACCTTAATCATGTTAATTTCTGTAATAATGAAATAGATACAAATCCTTACTTCAGAATTGAATGCTTCTTTTGAAATTTTATAAAGGTGTAAAAGCATCCACAGAAGCAATTAATACTAAAAACGTGTGCACAATCAAGGCTTTAACAATCCTATAAAATAAATTGCTTCGCCGGGCGCAGCTGGATACGACCGCAGAGGTCCAACCCTGAACAGTTGGGGCAAAAATGGACACAATATTCGCGCTTGATACAGGTCTGAATTTGGATTGTAATTGAATATTTGACACATAATAGGTTTCTGACACAGAATAACTGTAGTCAAAGAACTTAGAATTGGTTAAATGATTTGAATTTAAATTCAATTTTTTGCTTTTGTGCAATACACTGTGCCTGTGCAAATTGACCCCCCCCCCCCCAAAAAAAATAAATAAAGATTAACCCATTTCTTTTTTTGCTTTTGTGCAATACTCTATGCTGTTGCGTATTGACCCCCCCCTCCCCCCCCCCCCCCCCACCTTTTTTTTGCAAAAAAAAAAATTATGTGAAGAAAGTGTTTATTTTCTAAATTCTGAAATGAAAAATGCACCCCCCCACCCCTTTTTCAAAAAAAAAAATTCTCTTCCTCAAGATATGGTCATAATCTCAATTCAAATTACCAATGGAGTTTGCAACCATAATTACCCATTTAAATACATCATAAAAGTCTTAAATAGATAATTTAAAAGCAGTGTACGGGAGGTAATCCAACATTGTACAACATTGTAAAATTTTGTTTTTGGATTACATCCCTTACACTGCTTTTAAATTGTCCATTAACCAGGAAACCCTTGTTTTCCCCCTTTTTTGCCCCTAATTCCTAAACAGTTTGAGCCGTAACCCCCCAAAGCCAATCCTAACCATCCCTTTGTGGTATGGAAATTTGTGGTATAATTTCAGAGAGATCCATACACTTAAACACAAGTTATTGTCTGGAAGTTACAAAAATGCTTATTTTTGGCCCCTTTTTGGACCCTAACTCCTTAACTGTTGGTACCATACCCCCAAAAATCAATCCCAACCTTCCTTTTGTGGTATTGAACCTTATGGCAAAGTTTCAAAGAGATCCATTCACTTAAACTAAAGTTATTGTGCAAAAACCAATGTGTCTTCGGACAATGACGCAGACGATAACGACGACAACGACCCCAACGTCATACCAATATACGACCACAAAAATTTTTTGCGGCCGTATAATAACAAAAAGAAGCATGCAATACAAATAATTACATTTTAGGCTACTATGAGTAAAATCAAATTTTCATTTTTTTCTATATGCATTGTTGTCATGAGGAACACATGCAGTCATAAATGTTTCATTTCATTGGAAAATAAAACATCTAATGCATGTAATGGTTGTCTACCAATCAAAATGACAGATTCTTATGAAACATTTATATATTGTAATTTTTGGACATACGGACGTACGTACAGACGGACAAGGGTAAAACTTAATGCCTCCTCCGGCTACGGCGGGGGCATAAAAATCCTTGATTTGATAGGGGTAACCCTATAAATATACTAGAATCTGATGCAAGGTTATACCAAAAAAAATAAACTGCTTCGCTGAGCGCAGCTAGATACGCCCGCAGAGGTCCAACCCTGAACAGTTGGGGCAAAAATGGACACAATATTCAAGCTTGATTCATGTCTGAATTTGGATTGTAATTATATATTTGACATCTTATTGGTTTCTGAATAAATGTAGTCAAAGAACTTGAAATTGGTTACTGTAAATTCAGAAATTATTGCGAAGTTTTTATTATTGCGAAAAATGCGACAGGGATATAATCGCAATAATTTAAACTCGCATTTTGAAATTTTTTATATAAATTAAACAGGATTTTTCTCAATATCGCAAAAATTGAAATCGCATTTTAGTCTAAAATGACAAAATCGCAATAATAAATGCACGCAATAATTTCTGAATTTACAGTATATGAATTGATGAATTTATATTCAATTAAAGATTTCTAGCTGTTGTGCAATACTTAGTAAATCTGTTGTCAGACTATAAACAAATAAAGTTCAATTAATTCTCAATCAATGTCATATTAGAAATTTATGAAAATAAAAAGGGAGCTTACATCAACAGATATAAACAATTCACCCAAGTTTCATGAGAATTGGTGACAGCCTTTTTGAGTTATTGTCCGAAAACTGGAAAATCACTCCTTTTTTTAATGAATAAAACCCCATAACTCAGAAATGTAAAATGTAAAAGTTATAAAATTCTAAATGGAGCTTACATCAATACATTCAAACAATTCACCAAAGTTTCATAAGAATTGCTGAAAGCATTTTTGAGTTTTTGTCCAAAAACTGGAAAATCCCCCCTTTTTTTATGAATAAAACCCTGTAACTCAGAAAAGTAAAATCTAAAATTTATAAAAATCAAAAGGGAGCTCATGTCAATAAATATAAACAATTCACCACAATTTCTTGCAAGTTGGTGAAAGCATTCTTGACTTATTGTCCGAAAACTGGAAAATCCCCCTTTTTTTAATGAATAAAACCCCACAACTCGGAAACGTAAAATCTTAATTTTATAAAAAACGAAAGGGAGCTCACGTCAATAGATATAAACAATTCACCAAAGTTTTATGCAAATTGGTTGAAGCATTTTTGAGTTAATGTCCGACATGTTGACGACGGACAGACGGACGGACAGACAGACGGACGGACGGACAGAGGTATACCATAATACGTCCCGTAAATGGGCGTATAAAAATCACAGACAAATATAGATTTATATACTTTCATTACTCAGGCATAACTTCCTCCTTTAAGAGATACATGATTGGAGGATTCATATTGTTTAAATACAGAAAAATTTCTCCTGTTATGTTGATATATATGTTATACACATCAATTGCTTCAATCTTGTGTAATTAAGACATATCTTTATTTGTCAAGTGCAACTACGACTAATATCTAAATTAGTATTTTGTTATTTTGATATATGTTTTGCAAATCTTGTGTTATTTAAGACATATCTTGATGTGTCAAGTGCATCCAGGACAACATCTTAATTACTGTTCTTACATATGTTACATTTGTGTAATCTAACATGTCATATTCTTCCTCATTCCACTGTGATCAAACAGATCTATAACGGCTGATTTAGAAATTTGTTTTTTTCCGAAACCAAAAAAATTAATATTTTCTTCTTTTATTTCTTAAAATACTTTTTTTTTTTTTTTTTTTACCAACAGTGACTTAAATGTAAAATAAGAGGCTGTAACATTTTTGATTATCAGACAATGTCACTTATTTCAAAGAAAGAACATTGTTAGGGAAATAACTCTACATTATTTTTTTTTTAAAGGTCAGAAACCCCTAGATTCATGCGCCACTTTTTCAAAGTTATTTCTTATTTTTAATATCTAAAAAGCTTATAACTGTTCCAATATGATTTATAAAATAAAATATCATTTAACAACTTGGCCACTTGAGCTTAACTTATCATGATTGAATTTTATACCATACACAATATAGTTAGACTATTGCTTATACAATGTAGTATTTGAGAAACAGATCTATTAGGAAAATTAGGCGTTTACCAATAACAATAAAAAATTAGGTCAAGGTCAGACAAGCCTGCAGTCAGACAACATAAGCATCATGTAAATATTCCATACACTGAATATGGTTGACCTATTGCTAACAGTAGACAACATAAACACCATGTAATCATTCCATACACCGAAAATGGTTGACCTATTGCTAATAGTATCTGAGAAATGGAAATAACCATAAAAACTAAATATTGACTAATGAAACATGAAAATGAGGTCAAGTCATATGAAACTTTAGAAACACCAAATATATCTGAAAATTTATCTTTAACTTTGATCAATTACCATTGAAATGAGGTCAAGGTCAGATGAACCCTGTTTGATGGACATGTTGACCTTGCAAGGATCCCATATACCATGTATACCAAATATAGTTGTTCTATTACTCATAATAAGTGAGCATTTCAAATGATAAAAAAATACTAAAAAATTTCAGAAACAGTCGCTAAACCAGGGAAATGAGGTCAAGGACAATGGACATATGACAGACTGAAACTTCATAACATTAGGCATCTGAATATAAGGTATGAAGCATCAAGGTCTTCTATCTTTGGAAATATAAAGCTTTATACAAATATTTTACTGACTTACCATTAATGGTTTCCTTTAAACTGACCTTTAAATCACAAACTTTAACACGTAAATGCAATATTTTTAAAGTAAATAGACCATGACTAAGGGGGATTGGGCCAACTAATCTCCATGGATATGAGTTGTACTAATGCTGATACAACTGCTTACCAAATACCATTGACTTACAATAAGTGGTTTCCCTTAAACTGACCCAATCATAAAATTTTAACAAATTGCTGAGGCCATCAACACAACAATGTTGCCATAAAACAGCACATCTTAGTCTAGTCTTCATGACTTCGTTGACACAAGACAAAAATTTGAAATGCCATCACCAGACAAAGGTCTCTGTCGAAACAAGAGTGCCTTTGCTGAAATATCTCGCCTGCTTTACTGACCATGATTGATATAAAGTTTTAACGATAAAGGTTTCAATACAACATGTACAAGTATCACATAAACTTAACATTATTAATGATCCAAGACAATAGGGTCAAGGTCAGATAAACCCTGCCAGACAAACATGTACACCTTACAATCATTCCATACACGAAATATAGTTGACGTTTTGCTTATGGTTTCAAAGAAACAGACCAAACCCATGAAAATAAGGTTGAGGTCAGATGATACAATGTACATGCCAGACAGACATGTACACCTTACAATCAATCCTTGCTCCAAATACAGTTAACCTATTGCTTATAGTATCTAAGAAACAGATTTAACCAGGAAAAATTAAAGCGGGATTAGCTGTGAAATTCATGTTCACCGATTTGACTCAAATTCTCATATTTTATTTATAACCTACTAATACGTGTATCCAACTTACAAAAAGTCTAAAATGAACAATTAACAATGCATGAACTGGATAAAATGTATCCGTATTTCGTGTGTATTTTAGTCTAATCTAATTAACCATCAAGGTGACCTCCGAAGACTGCCGACCGATATAAACATAATATAGATATAAATAAATAGTGAACACGTGCAATTGGATTTTTCTAGATCTGTTTGAGTTCATATTATAGATTAAACAAATATGTTAGTCATCGTTTTTACCTGTATAAGAATGAGTTTTTGTGGATCGAATCAGTCAATCAAATGATTTATCCTTGTTTCACTTTTAATGTTGACATTATTTTCCATTAATAGCTGAACACGCCTAGTTCATGTGTAACACATCTCTAGCTAAGGAGTTAAATAAAAGGTCACATGAAGATGGATTCAATGAGGTCGAATTATTTACTTGCAAGTGAATAATTCACCAGCGATATTTCTAAGCTTATTTTGACAAAATTGAACCAAACTGGCTGCTAAAAATGAATTCTTATTTCACTATTTCACTTTCATTAACAATATTGAACAAAAAAAACACATTTTATTTTTTTTATATCTCGCAGCTAATGCCCCTTTAACATTGAACAATGAACCATGAAAATGAGGTCAAGGTCAAATGATACATGCCAGGCAGACATTGACACCTTACAATCATTCAATGCGACAAATATAGTTGACCTATTGCTTATAGCATTGAAGAAACAGACTAAACCATGAAAACTAAACATTGACCAATGCAACATGGTGAAGTCAAATGGTCAGATAAACCCTGCCAGACAGACGTGTACATCTTACAATCATTCCATACAGATGGTGGTGAACAATTTCTAATTGCTCATCTTTCATAGTTTTTCAGATAGTCTCTTCCAAGTTTATTTTGAAAACTGCATGATGGTACATTTATTGATGCAAAACTCCATTTGCCATGTTTTGCTCTAAAGCATGAGATTGGTCAGGTCTTTATGAAGTAAGATGCGTTCATCATTGGACTCTATAGGGCTAAAGATGACTCACTTATACCATCAAGGATGTCGTTGATGTAAATCAAGAAAAGAGTGGGTATCGTGTGACCATCTTTTTCTGTTTTTTTTTTTATTTTTAAAACATTGAATGCATCTTAAATCAAAATATTTCCTGTTTTATTCTCACATTTCAGTAATTATATATTCTACAATACAGAAATATGATTCAAATACAAAACAAGTCAAGGGGAAACGACTCACTTTTCAAGGTGAATCAACCCCATGCAAACTGGAATCTGACCGAAACAATACAGTGAAAACCAGAATCTGAACGAAATAATACAATGCGAACTGCAATCTGATCAAATCAATACAGAGGGAAAGGGAAACGGATCAAAACAATTTGATCAGTGGAAACTGGAATCTACCTGACCTGAGAATGTCTATTATCTTTTACAATGTATGTCATATTATGATTATCTGGCTTTAGAAGCTATACTGGTAATACAATTTTTTCTCTATATTTGTTTTGGTTGCAGATAAAATTAAATAATAACAGCTATATCTAAGTCATGTAAATTAACAGCAAAATTCTCAAATTTTGAAAACTAAGTTATCTTTATAAATTGTTGTGATGACGTGGGAAATACATAATAAGCCCTGTTGTGCATATACATGTAACGTAACCAGTCAGGGTGGGTATCCGTTAGATATTTGAGAAATATACCTTTACAAAAGAATGACAACTGTCATGGTTGTTCCTCAGAGCTACCGAATTATTCCAAAGTGTACTTCCACACTATAAAATAGTTAATGTCTTCCTTAATTTACTTTTTTCATAAATCATTGAAACACAGTTCAGGTAAGAAAGAAACAGTTTCGACAACTCTGAACAGGAAACCAGTACAATTTCGATATAGTGTTAATTTTTCATAATGAAAAATGAACACTATATCATATCTTTTCATTAGAAACTTATACAGTCCCATAAACGGTTTCACACAGGAAAGAACCAAACAAACAAAACAAACAAACAAAACTTAACTAAAACAAACTTGAAAACGTGAAAACCAAAACACATAAAAAGTTTTATTGCAATGTATGACAATGGCCTATATGCAGACTTTCAAACTAAGAACTTGTTATCAATTTTTGTATATGCATATGAAAATAATGGAATTAATTATTTTTGGATTGTCAAAAACGAAAGGGACATTAGCTACCAGATATATAAAAAAAATAAATATTATTTTTTTTTCAATCATTAAGGAAAGTGAAATAGTGAAATAATAATTCGCTTTTCGCAGCTAGTTTGGTTCAATTTTGTTAAAATACGTTAAGAAACATCGCTGATGAATTATTCACTTGCAAGTGACTAATTCGACCTCATTGAATCGTTATTCATGTGACCTTCAATTTAACCCCTTATCTAGAATGGGTTACGCATGAATTAGGCGTGTTCAATTATTAAAATGAAACGAATGTCAACATTAAAAGTTAAACAAGGTTAAACCTTTTGATTGACCAATTCGATCCACAAACACTCATTCTTATACAGGTAAAAACGATGATTAGCATATAGTTTTAACCTATAAATATGAACTCAAACAGACCTAGAAAAATCCAAATGCACGAGTTCGCTGTCTATTTATATCTATATTTATGTTTATATCGGGTTATATGACCGTCGTCAGTCTTCGGAGATCACCTCGATGGTTAATTAGATGGTGTCTAGACTAAAATACACACTAAATGCTGATACATATTATCTAAACCATGCATTGTAAATTGTTCATTTTAGACTTTTTGTAATTTGGATATACGTTTTAGTATGTTATAAATCAAATATGAGAATTTGAGTCAAATCGGTGAACATGAATATGACAGCTAATGCCCCTTTAATTTGGATGCCAGTTTGGAATAATTACTGGAGTACGTTTTTCGGATGATCCGTTCACACCCTGTATTAGCAGTAGCCAAGTTCTTTAGACGAAGATGTGATTCGATTCACAGTTATGACCTTTCGACTCTAGCTGTACACTATACTTTCACACAATATTATCATTCAAAGGATCTCTTATATAATTAACTGATCCTTTTGTGACAAATCTGATCGCAGATTTATTGCTGCAACTCATATACAGCTTTCTTCTATAATGGAAAAGGAAAATATTCTAGATATACTTACTGGAACTGTGGTGAGATGATCAAAGCTGTAAACTGCCTCCTTGACAACATCTTTGTACCTATATGCAACAAAGTTTATCGACAGGTTAACTGAGGCATTCCCATGGGCACCAACTGTGACCCTTAATAGCGGACTTGTTTTTGTATCGTTACAAATCAGTTTTTGGCTAAACTCAGTAAAGATCCGACTAAATTACATTTAATTGATAAGTAACATAGATGATACTGTTGCTTTAAACTGTCAAGAATTTTCGAACATTTCTGCGTAAATTTTACCCACGAAAACTCCTTAAATAAATCAATACTGACAGCAATCATAGTCTTTTTGTAGATATGCACATTCCAGTTTCACATGGGAAACTGTTTACCAGAACTTACTACACAAGTGACGATTTCGTTCCCTATTGTTAATTTCCCCATATTGGACGGTTATGTTCCTTTGGTCCCTTCTTCCGGTGTGTATTTGTCACAACTTTTTGCTTTGCTCATGTCTGTAGTGGTGTTTTAGATTTCAATGAACGTAATTTATGTATAACCGGTAAATTATTAAGTTAGGGATTTCGGTATCACAAATTGATTAAAACTTTTACTTAATTCTTTCATAGAATTCATTTGGGAAGTTTGGTTGCACCTGTAGAATTCATATTACATCATAATGTTTGTGGTGGTGTTGTTTAATGAGCCCGTAAATTTAAATACGGTCCATATAAACGAATACTAACAATGAACACTGCCCTTTCCTGGATCTTGATATCTATATCTTTAACGGGAAGCGTAATACCAAAATTTATGATAAAAGAGATGATTTTTCATTTCCTATTGTTAATTATCCATTTTAGATGGTGACGTTCCCTTGTCACCATCTTATGGTGTTTATATATCTCAACTTGTTCGATTCGCTCGTGTATGTAACAACGTATTTGATTTCAACGAAAGAAATCTCTGTATTACTGAAAAATTATTACACCAGGTTTTTTGATATCACAAACTAGTCAAAACATTTACTAAATTTTATCATCGGTACAAGGACATCATTCGTAAATATAAATCAACATGCAGACATCTTATACGTTCAGGTATTTCACATCCAATCTTTTATGGTAATATTCTTTACAAAGCACAAAAATGTTGGCATTCACCTCAAAAGCTAACCAAACCTTTAAACAGACCTATTCGGAAGGGATATAGTTACGATACTGTTGTCAGGTCATTTAGGATTGCATATTTTGGTATTAATATTGATTCACTCATAGGGTCTTTGCATCGGAAATAAACACATTTATTCTGAAACAAGTTGTTGGCATGATACGGGTTATGTTCTTCTCATATATTTTATGATGGTATGATACTAAACCCCTAACGGGAGGGATTGTACTTGATTTTCATATGATGAAGACTTATATAATCTTTCAATCAGTTTAATTGAGGTCTGGAGCTGGCATGTCAGTAACTGCTAGTAGTCCTTTGTTAATTTATGTATCATTGTCATTTTGGTTAGCTTCTTTTGTTACCTTTTCTGACATCGGACTCGGGCTTCTTTTAAACTGAGTTTTACTGTGCGTATTGCTATGTGTTTCTTTATTCTACATTGGCTAGGGGTATATGGGGAGGGTTGAGATCTCACAAAACATGTTTAACCCCGCCGCATTTTTGCGCCTGTCCCAAGTCAGGAGCCTCTGGCCTTTGTTAGTCTTGTATGTTTTGTTTAATTTTGGTTCATTTATATGTTTTGGAGTCTAGTGTCATGTCCATTTTAACTGTACTAGTACACAATTTTATTTAGGAGCCAGCTGAGGACCACCTCCGGGTGCGGGATTTTCTCGCTGCGTTGAAGACCCATTGGTGGCCTTCGGCTGTTATCTGCTCTTTGGTCGGGTGTTGTCTCTTTGACATATTCCCCATTTCCATTCTCAATTTTATCATTGCTTTTGAATACACTTATTCAAAAGGTTATCAATTTAGCACCGAAGAAAAGTCTGTAGATATTGTTTTTATCGGTAAGATTGATTTTGTTTTTGAAAAAAATAAAACCTAACTAAATATGCATTGCTATAAATGTACAGTTATGAGTACTCATGACTGTAGGTCATGCGTTTCTCAGAATGTTTATGATGTCCTAATCATTACTTTAGTTTGGGATAGCAAGATTTATTTATTAGTTGTAATTGACTTTGAACTAGCTCTCAGTAACTGCGAGTACTCTTATATCGTTGCTTTGTGTCAATTTTTTTTTAAATTTTAGTTGTTTTATTTGAGCGTCGTACCGATCTACTTCTTCGCTTGCCAAGGGTTACGATCTGAACCGCTCATCTTCGCTAGCCAAGCGTTACTATCTGACCCGCTCCTCTTTGCATATAGAGGAGCAGGTCGGATCGTAACCCTTGCCTAGCGAAGATCAACGATTTATTGAGTTGAGTCATTTGCAACTGATTTTTACATTTTGTTTTTATGTAGCTGTTACGCCACTATCCCGGTTTAGGGGAGGGTTGAGCTCTCACAAAAATGTTTAAACCCGCCACATTCATGTGCATGTCCCAAGTCGGCAGGAGCCTGTAGTTCAGTGGTCGTCTGCCATATGTGTTTTTCGTGAATCGTTTTATTATAAACTAGGCCGTTAGTATTTTCATTTGAATTGTTTCACATTTTCATGTTCCGGGCCGTGTATAGCTGGAAATAGAATATGGTGACGATGCTTATACCCCCGTCATTTGGTGGATATTTGTCTCATTGACAATCATAACACATCTCCTTATTTCTATATACTAGTAGTATATTTTTTATTGGATTTTTGTATCAATCATGGGTCTTCCTGAAAAGTTCTTTTGGTTGATAACATGTGAGAGAGTAACTTTATTCATACACAGGTAGATTATTTAATTACAAACTTTAGTATTGCCAAGGATTTGTTTGGTTTTGCTCAACAAATTTGGTAAAAATGTCTGTTTCTTTGTATAATTCAATAATATGTTTCTAAATACCCTTTTGAATTATCTGAACTGCTTGCTTGGATGCAATAGACATGAGAGAATCATATTCATCCGATTCTTAAGCACCGTCTCCTAGTGTGTTCTCCAGCTAAGCAACCAATTAATGCCTTTTTTATCACCCAAATTGCTAGTTTTGCTAGCTTGAAACGGACAGAATCGTACCTTTATAGCTTACTATATGGTATGGGGTTTGCCCTGGTATTGTTGAAGGCGACACGGTGACATCTAGTTGCTTACATCTACGCTATTTGGTCTCGGGAGGATAGTTGTCTCATTGGCAATCATAGGTCTTCTTATTTTTACATTACATGACTCTTTAAGCACGGTTCCCTGGTATCTTCTACAGCCAAGCAATCAACCAAACCAATTCCAACCAAACGTTTGCCTTTCCTTGATCAATGCTGCCTCCAAAAACACACTTGAACAGGACTTAAACAATTAAAACTGTCTTTTATTTACTTTTTCGTATTACACATGTAGTACGTTGAATCTTGGACATAAATTGACCATACTATTCCTAAGTTGAATATTTCATCTTTGTTTCATTAATTGTTTGTATCTACTGTATATGTACTATATATGTAAATCTCACAAAACATGTTTTACCCCGCCGCATTTTTGCGCCTGTCCCGTCAGGAGCCTCTGGCCTTTGTTAGTCTTGTGTGTTTTTTTAATTTAGTTCATTTATATGTTTTGGAGTTTAGTGTGACGTC